GGTGGAAAACCACTTAAGTTAAACATAGGATATATGAGGGGGCAAACAGCCCCTTCTTTGCTGTTTCTTCCTAGAAAGTCAGTGCCGATTTCAAGGTGCTGGTCTTTATTGACACTGTAAGATGGAAGCATTACATCCCAGTTTGAAGCTCATGTTACCTGGTTGAAGTTTTCATAAAACTCCGGGGTCTTGTTACTGAAAGGGGATAGCCGTTGGCAGGCCTTTAATAACCAGTGTTGACTACACATCACGTTCAGTAGGGTCAAGCTAAACCTTTGCATTGAACCTCTGTATGTTACATGTGTTTATGCTAGCCATAGACTTCTAACACATACATGCACACACCCCTCTGTGCTCAAGCTTGCATCATGCCCATTAAAACAAAATGCAGAACCCATGTATGCACAAATATCTTTGCTATGATTATTGAAACATTATGTTTTGAACCCTAAAGGTGGCTCCTTGTTCAGCTTAAAAGTGGCTCCCCTGAGCCTCTGCTAACTCCAGATTCTCAGAGGTCTGCTCCAAGAACATTCTTACTGCCGGAGGGCGAACTCAGCTAAAACGTGTAAGCAGCAGTGTGAGAATGCTATCTCTTGGCTAAAGATTTACCACTCTGATTGATGCTGGTTGTTTTATAGCCTGAAAGCAATGCTAATGCTCACCTCAAGCCTTATATGTGAACTCTGTCCAACACAGCCCTCTCTGATCCAGAACATCCTTTAAGCTAGCCCTCAGAACACCTTGATTAAACACTTAAGGTAGTTTTGACAGCCTAAGGCAAAGGGTATGGAAAAACTTATATGCAAAACCACCTCTTAAAGCTCCCTCCAGAGAAAGTTGTTTCACATTTCACCATTTGCACTTTGATTATGTAGATGTTTTCCATAGTTAATATCATTTATTATGCAGTTAAGTGTTTAGTATTCATTTTACAATGGTTTTATAGACTGAATATATGTAATTTATCTCTTTATATAGTTATCTTTGTTTTCTTAATTGGACTATTGTGGTCGTTCCGAAACAGTAATCAATAACAATGAACTTGAGCTCAAACATCACAACCAGGTTTTAAAAAACAGAATCAATCAACACTTTAATTCAGAGGGATTTCTTGGTTTCCAGTCACTGCAAAAGCTGTGATTATGTCATAGCCTTTGGGTTTGAGATTTCAGTGCAAATGACCTAATTCAATGTGAGGTTCTGATACTACATTTGAGTTTAAAGCTTTCTCCTTATGAAGCTGGTCTGCACAGGCGACAGTCTTGAGGCGGACCAAGCAGAGCACAACAAAAACCGTTAGAAAAGATTTATGGGTTGGACTGAGTGCTACCCTGGGCACAGGCAATGGAGTTGTGTTAAATGTTGCCAAAACCTCTGGCTTTTATTTTACCTCAAACAGCATTAGAACCCCTGACAAGCAATATAAAATCACTGAGATAAGTCTTTTGTGTTTTCATGTAGACCATAGCTATTTCTGACCACACACACAAAGCCTAATTTCTATCCTTTTACAAAATAGAGGATTAGTATAGCAGCAAATCATACTCTTTGTAAGATGTCCAGTTAAGTCTAGAGAAAGGTAAACCAATTGATCTCATCTTTTTAAATCCACTGTGACAGAATGCCCCTGAAACTTGGCAGCAAGGAAGGCCAAGATATTTGGGCAAATGGCTTCTCCGGCTGGTGATGTGGCTTGGGTGGTACAACAACCCAAAGGATCCTGTTTGTAGTTCAGTGTCAAGGTCCTCCTGGCAGATCCATTAGTCTCGGCTGATGAAAGGAAATGTTTTCCTTACATACATCTGTCACTGTGGCCACAGATTGGAAGGACAGACACAACACGCCAAAGCTCCTAAATGTAATGTACATAACTTCGGCACGTAAACCAACAAATAAGCGACCAACCCACTACCACGTCCTACATAACTAATCAGAGAAAAAGGGACCTGTACCATAAACAACTCATAGAATTGGCCTCTACGAAATCTATCAATTGAACCAAACAGTGTTCAACCTCTACACTCACAAAAACCCGGCCACGCAGGAATAAGAAATGGACATTATTATAGGGATGACAATGTCCGTTTGTCCGTTGGTTTACGACTATGGCAAGGAATAAAAGAACCCAACTACTTGATGGATTGCAATGTAATTTGATAGTTCTATCATTGGGGAGACAATGATTCTTAAAGACACTTGCAGTGAAATGTCTCAACAACTTCAGACTGGTTTGCCGTGAATGTTGAATGTCCACATATGAAGTGAAGTTACTATTTTGTGTCTAATAAACTTTTATGTCTTATAAACTTGCAAAAATAATGACACCCCAATCAGCCATAGTTGTACTTTGTTTTTAATGCTAATTTGTATTTTTTAGCTTGCTAAAAAAACAAATACTCTGAGATGGTGAATATTGTAGCGACCTGGTACCAGCATTTTATTTGCGCATAGTTGTGCATTCTCCAAATAATTGACCGCCATGTGCAACATCTGGTATTCCAAGAGAGACTTCAAAATGAAATCACTATCTGACACAGGTCTGTGGCTTTTTATCTCTGCTTAGTTAAACTCACAATAAAATATAACTGATCACATATGCTGATTATTTTTTGTCCTGCTGGGACATTCGTCTCTCTAGACAATCCACGGTTCCCATGTCCAAGGAGAAACCAGAGCAATCAGGACAGTGGCCCAGACAAGGGCCTCTACCCTCTCAGGGCCCATTATGGCCTGTCCACCCCCACCCTCTTGGTGCTTCATAAATCTCACTCTGCTAGATAGCAGTTCCTAAATTGCAAAATATGTTGACAGAGAAGTCAACCTCGAGGGACATCGCCACCAACGCAAACTCTTCCACATATACACCAACCCCCCCCTCACATATAGCTCGTCATTTACCCAGTTTTCAGAATGACAATGCGTGTTCCTGACACTGTAGCCACAATCAAACAGCTGGGTCTCGACTACCGAGGTCAATAACTTCTCACAGGGGCCAAACAACAACAGCCGACTCTGGAGTTGAACACATAATGATATAGGGTCATGCCTGCAGACACTTAAAAACTGCTTGAAATACTCTGGAATGAGATACAGCATATTAATCTATGATACCATCTGTGCTCAATGTGTGGTGGAAAGAAATCAGCATTTTTAGGAAAAAAGCAGGTAAAATATGGATTTTAGCCTTGCTTGGAGGAGACTAAACCACATCACGGTACCCTGTTCACACATACCAACTGAGAAATTAAAAAAATAAGCTCTAATTTACAGCAAGTCAGAGTCTCTACATAGAAAACGTCAAAGGAAGTAAGCACACGCAGAACAGGAGGCTGCAGTAAAGCCTTGGAGGCGGGAAGGGGGTTATGGGATATTATACTAGGTCTTAGATGTGTTTGTTTTGGCACAGCCTCCGAGTGATGTCATCATCATCACCATGGCTGTTGCTTCACTTCTTAGGCCCAGTAAATGACGACAGCTCTACAAATCAACCACTTTGGCAAAAGTTCCTCTGAGTTCAGAAGTTGCTCATATTGCTGTAAGTACTTTGAATTATATTAAATGTTAACATCCAAAGTGGAGCTCTCGGATGAATCTGGTGAGCAGATGCTGTCAGGCCAGACTTTCAGAAACAGGATCACAGAGAAGAACGGCTGTGTGACTAAGGCAACATTATGAATATGCATCAAACAAAGTATTCAATAATGCAATGCATCACTCCAAAGAGGTTCGGGTATTCAAAGTTGCATGAGAAAAATTAATTTCCCCTCGAGTTAAGAGTTGACAGGGACACTTGACATTTGAAAACCTCAAATAACAAATCTGAAAAGAGAGCAGGAAATGAGGACATCGACGTCCTTTAAGACATCGACTTCCTCTGACCAAAAGCCACATCACAAAATAAACCGTTTCCCATGCAACTTCTTTACTCTTGTCAAAACTGAATTCAACAATTATCTAATTTCTCCTGGCAGGGGATACATTTGAAAAGCACTAAGTGAAATGTGACTCATACAAAGAGACAGCGGAATTATAGAAAGACTCATCAAGGCACGTAATCAGTTAAAGATGTGCAAGATGAGACATCTGAAAGAAAATGTATTGACACACGTAATCAGTGTAAAGATAAGAGCGGGGATAAAGACAGGGCCAAGCTTATGCTGAGCTTTCTTGAGTTGTGCAAGCTGCTGGCTGTCAGTGGATGCTTGTATGGAAAATAATATGGGAGTGCTAAATAAAAGATTTGACAGTGGTAAATAGTGAAGGCCTGCTTTTTTGGTGAAGCAAATACTGACAGAGTTCACTTGATTTGCAGTGTCACTGTAGTTCACTGTGTACATACTGGAAGTTACTCGATCCACACTATTGACACATTACATCATTTGGTCCCAGTTCATCCAATTAAAGGATTTCAACTTTCATGTTCTCATCATCAGCTGAAAAAAATGATAAAAGGCCTTCCCAGTCTTTGCTTGGTTTAGCCACCCAAAGCCTCTTTAGTTGATTAATAATTGTGTATGCATTTTCAAGCTAAATGCTTTATTTTCAAGAAACTCAATGAGCTCTCCTCTGATAAACACAACATTTTAATTTGTGCTTTCGCATTTTAAAAAGCTCAATGAAATCAACTAAATTCATTTATTTATTGTAATTAGAACTTCTTGAAAATATCCTAAAAATGACTTCTGACTGAACTTGACATTGTTGTTTCAAACAGCAAGAGGCAACCTTAACCCTAACCCTTTAATTTCTTCACACACTGACTGCTGCCAGCCAAACAGCACCTCCAGGTGGTGCCAAGCCCCAGCTAGGGGATGGGGAGAATAGAGGAGAGACTGAGGGAGAGCTGAGGAGCGAGAGAATATGTTTATTCTTGTAATGTGTACTTAGACAGGGGGGGATACAAACAAGAAGCAACAAACCAAATGTTCTAACAACATGTCATGTTAAACAGAGCCACGTTTTTTCTCCTACTTTTCATGTTCTGTTATTGACGGTTGTCAGAGTTCAATGAAGCATGCGTGGCACAAAAACAAAACAAGAGTCCACTCACCACTTTCGCTCTTCTCGATCACGTCCACCGTCTCGCCGGCCTTGAGGCTGATCTCGGAGTTCTCCTGCCTCTCGTAGTTGGCCACGGCCACGTACTGCTCCAGCACCATGGGCTCCGAGCTGTCAATCCCTGAGGGGAAGAAACAAGCTGTCAGCCACCTGCCAGCCGTGGCCCCCCGAGATCGTCCCCCGCAACCAACTACACTGTTGCCGCCTCGCACCCGGTACGCCGCCATCGGCCAACCCCCGCTGCCTGCCGCTGTTCCTCTCTGACCAATCAGAACGCGAGCTCGCGACTTGGCTGCATAGTCCCAAACGTCTGGCCATATAGCTGAGTCGACCCCCGGCCCACAGCAAAGGACAGAGGAGCATTGGAAGGAATCAAAACAAAAGGAAGGAACGGGATGGAAATATTTACGGGGGCTGCATCTCACACCTAAAGTAGATCCATGACCAAACTTAAAAGGTCCAAAACAAGTGAGAAGAGAAAGAAGAAGTGGAGGAGCTGCTAAAGTTTGGAGGGGAAGACTGGGGAGCCAATGAGTGGAAGAATGGTGAAGTTTCCCTGTGGAAAATCAACAGTGCGGTTGAGAGGAAAGGCCTCCCCTCTACTGCCTTTGGGAGGCAGCCGTTGGACGGCGGGTCGGGAGGGGGGGCGAACACACCAATCATGGTAGTCGGCACTGCTGGCCTTAAATAGAAACATATGAGGGGACGAGAGAGAAGGGGAGAGAGAGGAACAGGGAAGGAGGCTGGGCCCATGTTTATGTGAAACAAAAGAAGAAAGCATTTGAGTTGGGGTTAGGCCACTCTGTTTTCTCTCTGATGTTGAACCTCTTCATTACCAGCAGTGATTTAATTTACTCAGTTCACGTGGTGCTGATCTGATCCGAGCCTGACTCTTTCTTGTTGGCTTGTTTGGCCACAGAAAGATGACCCACGCAGATTACACTTCACATCCTGTAGTGTTCTGGGTATCAATGATGTGATCAGGGACAGAAGATGTATACATACTGACAAATAAATAAATCTTGTTTGGCAATAAGAATCTGTCCCAAAATTTGTTCAGTGGGTTAATCAATGTTACGATTCCCCATAACTAAGCCTAACTTGAGTAGGTCCAAAGAGTGTCCAACAGCTGATCATAAGAAATCATCAAATGACTCCACCTACCCCAAATCAAATATATTCAGAATGCTGTAATCTATTGATGTATTTATTGCAGCACTAAACTTTGGATGCCAATTGTTTATTTAATAAGTTATTCTTTAAACATTAGCACATGGCATGCTTTGTCAACAAGCAACTTCAAAACCCCTTCAGCTTGAATATGGCCTCTCCACAACTGGACACATGCAGAAGTTTGAATGGCTTTATTGAATATTAGACGTTGACCAATAGAATAGAAAAATAAAGCAGTCTGTGACACCTCATTTACCTCGCACTACACAGAATAAAGTGTTTCATTATTCAGAAGTGTAGCGTCCCACCACCTTAATGTACTGTATGTCATAGATTGTTTTCAAACACTTTTTGAGGGTCTACACAACAAAATTACCAAGATTGGACAAAAGTTGGAGCAAAATCAACTGAAATGTCTTTAAATTAAATGAATTATTTAAAAAAAAATGTAAGTTACTTTTTTGAAAGGAATCACTCATGTGTTCATCTATGTAAGTGAAACATATCGAATTAGCATTTAATCTAAAGGCCTTCGAGCGCCTCTAAAGCTCAGTAATTAAAAGGTTGAATCTCATTTGTTTAATCAGAAACAGAATGTGCTGTAACTTTTTACTGGAGAAAAACACCCAGGCTCCAGACCACAAGACCTGGTGTGGAACCATCATTCCTGCACTATAGGTAGAAGTGTTTGCTAGACGGATAAACTACTGTTTATTAAGTTGTTACAAACTTTATGTAGACTCAGGCTAGATTGTTTCCCTTTACTTCCTATCATTAACCCATTCCTTCCTTCAGCAAATCTCATGTATCCCCAGAAAGAAAGAAAAATCATGTTAAACTCTGTCTACTTTAACTTCGGCTGTGTTAAAAAGTCCTGCACAGCACAATAATCCTAAAGAAAATAAGTCCTTGCTTGCTAGATAGCTATCAGACATAAAAAGACACATGTTGGCAAAGAGATATGGAAGATTCTTCACCTAATGTTAAAAAAGATAAGACAAAAAGGCCTGTCAGCACCAGCAATGACACAAAACCAAACTCACGTGGAGTCTTTGATGAGCGACAACACGAACGCTGGCTAATTACTGCGACTGAGAATAAAAGTATGGAGCATTCTTTATCAGCAAGTTTCTCCATATTCCCACTATCTACTGCATCTGAGATGAGAATTCTCTGCTGTCAGCCTCTTTGTTGTATTGTCAATGGGATTGGACCTTGAACATGAATTGTATGTGTTAAGCTGTGCAAATCCTGCAGGTTAGATGCCACTTTCCATACAAATCTAAAGGAAAATGTCTTGCTAAGAGTCAACATAAAATCAAGTGTGTGCTATATGTTCTCAGAGGCAATGTTATAGTTTTATGAGTCTGAAACAGGTTGCAATGCATGTATTTAGGCAGCCTTGGAGAATAGTTGAAGCTTTTGCGCAGTGCTTAAAACACAATTAAGCATCCCTACATGTTGTTACTCAAATAAACAGGCAGGGAAAGCTCATAACTTCAGCTCCCCACTGGCTCAGGCTGGGCATTCATCTCTGTCTTTCTTTAGCATCCTCCCCGGAGGCGGAATAAAGAAAAGAAACATGTTGTGGAGAACGTAAGCAGCCTATGTAGAGGGAGCAATCAAAGTCAGCCTAAGGTAATAAAGCAGCACAGATCCAGCGACTTAAACACTTTACACTGTTGTAATGGCAACCACGCCTTGTTGAGAAATAGCATGAATCCTAAAGACCTGTTACATACCACTTTTCCATATTCCAATACTTTTATGGCACAAGATTTCTTGTTGATGTCAGGGGAGTTGTTTCCTCCAAGTTCTTGAAATATGGTCATTTCCATTCAAAAGGGATTTAACTTTGTTATTCCTAAATAGTATTGACACGCTGATAGCTCTAATACAGGGTATATGCAGGAATCCTGAAGTCAAATGTAATACCTTTTAAGACCCTTTCCATACATTTTAAGACCTCATCGCCACTTGGAGTTTTAACCGGTTACCTTGGCGACACACTTTACCTCACATTGACTATATACAGTATTGATTGCCCTTCCTCCTTATCTTCCAACCATTTGGACGCAGACTTGCATTTCCCCATAACAATGTTGTTTAACAACCGGCGTAAACGGACCTTCGTGCTATCAAGCAGTGAGCGTGCGATGTCCTGTTCAGATGACGTCAAATCCAACGGGATGCCATAAATAAACTACACAGAAACACACTACACACCTACGCAATGATTACATTCAGGCAGACTGTAGAATACAACCTCTTTGGACAATTTATATACTTATTGAAAACAAGCTACAAAATGTAATACCTTGGAAAATGCCGTTTAATACTTTAATACTTTTTAAAAGCCTTAATTTTTCGATAAAATTGATTTATCAACTTTTAATACTTTTTAAGACCCCGCGGACACCCTGTAATATAAGGAAACAATATGTGTGTCCGTCTCAAATACAGCTTAGCCTCAATCACAGTTAAGCGTCTCGAAGAACATTGGTTAAATATTCACCAGATGGGCGATCGTATTTTTGTCGTTTATAGGACAGAGAAAAAAAGTTATTCCCTAGGACATCTATTTGCAACAGGGACGATTCTTTGCTCTCTACCCATCATTCCTATACTGTACAACCACAGTTGAATGAGGTCACAGGCACTGATCTACAGCCATGATGCAGACAAATGTAAAGAACCAGACTTGACACCTCATTTCAATCCAAGGCGCTTTGCCACATGCAGAACTAAAGTTCATTTTCCGGCCCTCTGGCACCGTGCCCAGCTGTTGTTGGTCAAGCAGCTCTGCAGGATGGATGGATATACTGCAGAGAGAGGCTGAATGCAAGCAGAAGGGTGGAAGGAGAGGCTCAGGACAGCGCATGCAAAGCAGATGTCGAGAGAAAAGCTGAAGTGTGAAATGAAATAAACAAAAAAAAAGCAAAAGGGGATGCAGCTAACGCTCTCCCAGTGGTGCATGCTTATTCAACATGTTGACATAGACACACAAGGCTACCTGAGGCCTCTTTCCTCGGGCTGTCTGTAAAGCCGTACATCCATACTGCAGACGGAGAAAAGGAAGGAGAGAAGCAGAGAGAGATTATTCAGTTTGACAGCATGCAGAAGCCACAGTATGGTGAAGCAGACCTTCATAACATCTACTGAACACAAATTATACGGATAACTTGGATCCAAAGTCCTGGCTCCCTGTTTGCTTCATGCTGAAGACAATAAAGTGCATCTGAGGGCAAGAGACTGGCCAATGTTTTGGTAACAACTCAGACCCTCCCTCCTTCAGACGCTCGCTCCACCCTTCCTATGATCCCCTTTCCTCCACCTCTTCATATATTTCTCAGTTTCTTCCATCCCTCTATCTGGACCTCCTGGAATGTCTGAGACGGGCGTCAGCTACTTCTTAAGTCATTCCCGACCCCGCAGCCCCCCTTCTCCAAAAAATCCTCTCAGGCCCCAACCAGGAAATTAAACGCCATGCATCAGAGAAGACAGGGACAAGACTGGAGTGCAGAAGGTAAAGCTACCCTGGTGTATCTAAAGGAAGCCGCGATTGGAAGAATGATTTGAGATCCAAATAATATTTTATTGTGTGGAAGTGAGCCAGCGTTTGAGCTGCAGCAGTTCAACAGACACAAAGAAACAGGTCACAACAATATGAAAGAACTGGAACAGGACAGGGCAGGGCAGGTCACTGAGAACAAGAAGGAATGTCCTCCACAACATTACGAGAAATGTCTGTTATCATCATTCATCTGGACTTTAATACTTTGACATGTTAAAATTCTTTAATGTTAAAAAGTATTTCAGTCTGTTCTGATTGATTAGCTGACCTGCTCTGTTGTGATTGGTCACCCGCTAAGATATGTCTTGCTCCGTAGCCTTTCACGTACAATGTGCTACAAAGCACTTGCCAATAGAAGCGCAAGTGTTACAGAGTGATGTCACTATGGAAGCGATTCAGGCAGGGGGGGAACTTTTAGATTCAGCCTTTGCAGACCATTTACAAGCACACCTATATCACACTACAGGAAAGGGAAATTCCTAAAAGCAGAATAGTGCCCTTTTAATATCATCTTTTTGCATAGCACTTCACTTATTTGGATGTAACCAATCTTGTTTCAAGATCTTTTAATTGGAAAACAGCAAATATATTCAACACTTCAGGCATTTTACCATAGGAGAAAAATAAGCTGACCTTACATGTTCTTAGATCGACAGCATATGGACTTTTCTACCAAAAACAAGCAAAATGGGAGGTTCTCTTTCAACCAAGCTTTAAACTGGATGCTCCAGAGGCAGGCAGGCTCAACACATTATAACTGCAACGAGGAGCATTAAAAAAGTACTCCTATAGTTTTATCACTCTAGGATCCATGAAAAACATTGAAACCCCTGGACAATGCTCAACATTTAACAATGTGAAAACAGGGTGGGTTTCTAAATAATCAACTCATCTTTTGAAGAGACCCAGTTTTGATACTCCATGATCCTGGCGAGCGCTGCCCCTGTTGTGAGGCCGACAGCGCCTCTCTGTTGGCTCACGTGAGATAATAAAAGCCAAATCCCCTCTCGCTATCCACCAGAGCCTCAGGAGCTTTGCTGGATTGATGTTGGCCCCTGAGGGAGCGATACAGGCTGGTCCCAGGTCAGCCAGGGTCAAACCCCGCTCACCAACGCCCTACCGTGATTATTACCCACCAGGCCACTCTCAGTGAAGCGCTCAACATCTGATTGATATTAACTCAGCTTCGGGCCCTCCATGCTAACCCCCTCCATACAACTACACACACATACAGATGCTTAATTCCTTTCAGGTTTGGGTGATGACGCCATAAAGCAGCAGAATCAGCAGTGTTTTCTCTGTCCTATTCCTGCTGTGGGTAATTTTTCTAGAATCCTGACCCCAAACGTCTCTATTACCCCGCAATTGAGGGCCTAGGGATGGTGAAAAATGGACTCTCTCAAGTCATTCTTTTAGGTTTGGATTGGAGGGCCTTATTAGCCATCTGTCTTGTTTTTTCGGTTGAGTGGATGAGTAGATTGTGTTTTGAAAGAAAAGTTCCTCGCACACATCCAACAACTATAGTCCATCAACAAGCTAAGACCAGCAGCCTGAGGATTTTAAAGATATCTGTCTGTTCAAACTGATCCGCACAATTAAGAAACGTTATGGTATTTCTGCAGCTTTGGAGATCAAACAAACTAGCTGAAACATTAAAGATATACTCCCTGGTTTTGTTGAAGTGCTTCCAAATACACTGTTGATGTTTCCCTGACTTTGAACTTGTAGAATCTCTAAAGTCTGGTAAACCACTCTGTTTCCTTGTATAAATATTCCAAGGCTTAAAATGACAAAATCGTACTAAAAATTATTAATTTATGCCCAACCTTCTCTCCTGTGGATGGCAACAATACGCCTTCACTAAGTCAATTTAAGGGACATCAAAGAAGCCACAATTACACATTCCTATATAAAGCAACACCTGTAATGATCCCCAGCGCAAACAAATTAAGTATTAATAACTATTTTGTGCGCACACATTAATATTTTAAGGGGAATGCTTTGAGGAACAACAATAAACAATAATCTACAGTCAGTGTGTGGAAATGTAAATGCTTACATACAACATGAAAATGTTTAGCAGGTTTTTATTTAAAGTTTGACAAATGTATCAGCATGCTACTAAATCGGCAGGTACATTATATCAGTGTGTATGTCGGCCAAATAAATTACCAAAAAGCTGCAGAAACGTGACACTATGGTCCACCAGGGGTGTAAAATGTCCAGTCTCATGATGCCTCTTGGTCACAATTCTTAAAACAAACAAATACAAAGGATCTTAATCAAGATTTGTAGTTGTATATGTGTTATACTGCTGAATATTCCGTAACAGTCGAGCTATAATCACTAATTGGTGACCATCCTCTTAGTTCAGTATGTAAGCATGCTATCATTTTCTTACTGCCATGACATACAAATTAGCATGAAAAGCCATAGGCCTATGGCATTCGTTATGCACACATTTGTTCGTAAACTTAATAAAAGTATTGGTAAACGTACAATTTTGACCTGATTAGATGTGAAAAATCACAGGAAGTTTCATCCTCTGGGGACCGTGAATTTCTGCAAACAGACAGACAGACAAACTGATATTGCCTTTTATAAAGCTACATTGCTGGTGTGGCTAAATAAACTCCCTTACCAGGGCTGCCAACACTCACGCATTGAGCGTGAGAGTCACGCAATTAACCCATATCTCACTTCCTCACGCCACACTTCCTCACGCTAAGTTTTCGTCCAAAATAATAAATGCTTTTGAATAATTTTGGAGAATATTTATAATGTGAAATCTTCAATAACTATGGCATTCTCTTAAATAACTTTACTATTATACAGTATATTTCGACCAAACTCACTATTTGCATTGTTGTTGTTAGCATCTGGTTAGCTAGCTGCGCTAACGGATATTAGAAGCTGTTTCTCAAACAATGAGAGTGCTCTGTCCTGTCAGACTGAGAGAGATAACTACAGCTCAGTGAGGTAAGGGACTCTCTGTTTAGATAGTTAACTTTAGTCTAGTTATCTCAGTGGGTCTCAAACGTTTTGGTCACCATTTATGATAATAAATGAAAAACAGTTATGAAATACTATATGGCAGTAAAACAAGAATACAGTTTAAAAGGTGAGTGATTTGTAAAATATCCATAAAGAAAAAGAAAATCTGTGTACAGTTCTGTTTCACATGGATGTTGAGAGATGTATCCTTAAATTCCTTTTGCTCTCAAAGTGCACCAGATTGATGCATTTAACTTCAATATTAAAAAAATATATATTCCCGGGGGAGCATGCCCCCGGACCCCCCTAGAGGAGATGAGGACCCCCCCCACCCCCCACTTGTAAAATAGCACTTTACCTCTGCTTACACCTATATGCAATTTTATATGCCGTGAGCTGATTATCGAGCCTTCATTGTAAGAGTCATGGGTACACTGTGTATGTGCGTATTCCACTGTAGCGCCCGGTACATTAATGGGAAACCCTAGTTTGTACATGTTCAATACATTTGTAACACTGTACACATGAACGTTTCTTTTTTCGGTTCACCAAAAAAAAATCTCACTCCAAGCTGAACTCAAATGTTGGCAGCCCTGCCCTTACTAACAACTAGACTACAACACTTTGAAAACATCTAAGTAGTAAAAGAGAGAAAATATCTTTGCTTTGGGCTGCCATGAGGGTGTTTTTACAAGGTGTGAGAAACAAAGAGAATGAAAGGCTAGGCTAAAAGTGGGGATAAGTGAAAATAGAGGAACAAATGATGTCACTGAAGCTCTAAATTACACATAAACATGTAAGACAGTTAGTATCAACACTATGTACTCACTCTGTACCCCTCAGTCTTCTCTACAAAAACATAACAACTAAAGGGGACTTAAAAGAGTAAATTCTAAGAAAACAGCTTGAACCTGCAGCCTCATGATGGCGCTAGCTGGTTAGCATACCCAAAGCTAACTGTAGCCGCTGCCACAACACAGTCAGGAGTTTAAATTATAAACTCTTGTCACCTGACACCAAGACAAAGGCGACCAATAACAAATTACAGCTAACCAGTAGCGATGGACCCTTGTAAAAAAGCGCAGCGACTGAAAGTGACACAGACGCTAACAATGTCAAACCACAGGCAGGGGCTAACTAGTATTGATACATTGTTTAGCTAGAGGACGGGGGAACAACAGAAAGTTCATCCGTGACTGTGACACTGACGTTTGTGGTGACAAATGACATTTGTGTGCAAACAAGAGTGGCCGGGGAGCAATGAAGAGCCCTGCTTTAGCCCCCTGACACAATGCTAAATGTAGCCGTTAGCAGTGACAAACCGCTCCCGTAGCATGCTAGGAGTGACATTGTCAAATCACTTTACAGGCCACATCTGTCTCTTTTCACTCTCTTTTCTCCCTGTTGTCTTGCTCTATGCTTCACTCACTTATTTTTGTTTTAATGAGAGACCCTAAAGCAATTTCAATTAATTTAACATTTTGAGATAG